CACACACACACACACACACACACACACACACACACACACACACACCACCACACACACACACCACCACACACACACACACACACACACACACGCACGCACGCACACACAGGAGGTGCTTGAGCAGCTGCGACAGGAGAGCACGCGGGCGACGCTTGGCGCAAAGGCGTACTTGGAAAAGGTGGCGCGGAAGTATGCAGCAGAGACGGCACAGGTGTACACAGAGCAGGTTGCCAATCGGATGCTGGCACAACTGAACAAGAACATCCACAAACTCGCTGGGGAAGGGCACTTTGTTGATGCTGAGCTCGATACGCTTGCAAAGTTTATCAAGAAGAAGCAGGTACCGGCATTCGCTGTGTTTGTGTCGTGTTGTGTAGTGTTGTGTAGTGTTGTGTAGTGTGTGTGTGTGTGTGAGTGAGTGAGTGGAATGCTACATTTGCCATTCTCCACCTTCGGCAGCCTTCACCCCAAAATCTTGCTTTCCTCCTGCCAAGTCCCTCACTGCGACCACCACCACAACCGAACACCACCGATCACCATTGATCAACAGGCACTGCTGCTGCGCGGGCGGGCGGAGTTTGCGCCGCCGAGCGAGCGGGACACGCTTCGTGTTTCCCGCCTGTTTTCTCTTGTTGACGAAGGGCTGTTCAACGACGTCATGATGTCACACGATGAAGTTGTGCTGGACACGGGTGGTCTCCTCCTTGATTCGCAGCAGCAGCAGCAGCAGCAGCAGCAGCAGCAGCAGCAGCAGCAGCAGCAGCAGCAGCAGCAGCAGCAGCAGCAGCAGCAGCAGCAGCAGAGTGATGGCGTGTTTTACATTGCACAAGGTTGGAGCTTGAGGTGCCTGCTGTTTTGTTGTGTGCGCGTGTTTGCGTGTTTGTGTGCGTGCGTGTGTGCGTGCATGTGCGTGTGAACGTGTGTGCGTGTTTACACATTGCTGGCAGTATCATGTCGCGTTCGCCTCGCTCATGTGCGGTTCCACCACCGCTCGACTGCTTGTTGTCGTTGGTGTTGTTGGTCAGGCTCGCTTGAGTACACGCATCCACAAGGGTTTCAGCAGGTGCTGGATCGGGGTACATATGTCAACGCCGCGTCCATGCTGGCGAACAAGGCGCCTCTCCTGACCATTACAGGTGCTGTTCGTTGCACGCGTCACTCCGTCGCAATAGCACTTGTGCTGATGTGCATGTGTTGCGTGTGTGTGTTTGCGTGTGTGTTTGCGTGTGTGTTGCGTGTGTGTTTGCGTGTGTGTTGCGTGTGTGTGTGTGTTTGTGTTGTGTGTGTGTGTGTTGTGTGTGGCCGTCGCTATCGTTCACCCTTGCTGAGATTCCACGTTTTGTCATGTTTTGTTCGCCAAACGTACATGACGCACAACCTCACATCTCTCCATCTCCTCACTTGCTGTGCAATGTTTTCCTCCTGTTCCACCGATACCAACACCGCCGCCGCCGCCAACAACAACAACAACAACTTAAACAACAACAACAACAACAACTTAAACAACAACAACAACAACAACAACAACAACAATAACAACAACTTAAACAACAACAACAACAACAACAACAACAAAAACAACAACAACAACTTAAACAACAACTTAAACAACAACAACAACTTAAACAACAACAACAACTTAAACAACAACTTAAACAACAACAACAACTTAAACAACAACAACAACAACAAAAACAACAACTTAAACAACAACAACAACAACAACTTAAACAACAACAACAACAACAACTTAAACAACAACAACAACAACTTAAACAACAACAACAACAACAACTTAAACAACAACAACAACAACAACTTAAACAACAACAACAACAACAACAACAACAACAACAACAACAACAACAACTTAAACAACAACAACAACAACAACAACAACAACAACAACAACAACAACAACAACAACAACATGCAGCGCGCGAACCGTGTCGGCTGCTCTTCTTCCCTGGTGATTCCCTCCGAAGTGCCGTCACATCCAGCACACCGGAATCCCCACAGGCGCACCTCGCTGCCAACATCGCCCGCATGGCCGCATTTGAACTGGTCCGCACACACACAGACACACGCACACACACATACACACACATACACACACACACACACACACACACACACACACACACACACACACACACACAACGAACGACACGACGACAC